TAGCCAGGAAGCTCTGTCCACAGGCCAGGATGCAGGGTGGTAGCTGTAGTGGGTGGTGTCTGTGTGAAGGAGCGAGTCAAGGAGTCAAAAGACATATTCAGAGATAGAATTGATGTTGGAGGTAGGGTCTGGGGGGCCCAGTAGTTAACCCATCCTTTCCTCCTACCAGGTTGTTGACTCCACCACAAGAAAGAATTCAAGGACAGAGTCATGGTAGAAAGTGAGAATGAGTTTAATGTAACAGATAATACAGGTTCCACGGAGAGAGTGCAGCACAGCTCCAGAGACTGAGCAGGCCCACACCAAGTCTAACACAGAAGTAAACAGTGCAGACATCAGGTCTAATGCAAAAGCAAGAAATACATACTTAAAGTTCAGTACGGAGTGCAGGCTGGCTCAAGAGAGTGAGCAGCTGTTTGCTGAAAGTAAGTTAGGTACAAAGTAAAGTATACACACCTCAGCCAGCAAAGTCCAGGCCGCCTCCAGGAATGTGAACAACAACCCCACCTCCAGCTGGGATTTGGCTTTTAGAGTTTCTCTATCTAATGAATATTCAATTAAGAGGGTGGTTTCCCAGTTATGTAACATTAGTCTTGCACATGATCAGTTGGTCTCTTCTTGGAGGATGTTCATTTGTCAAGTCCTATCACATGCACCAGACATACTCAAGAATATTCTGTGCTCTCTACCACCCACAGTGGAAAGTCTTTCAACAACCAGGGTTACATAACCTTTCTCTACTGAGCATGCCCAGAGACTGGGTTTGCATAATCCAGCCCCCCTGTGGTCTCATTTTCCCCTGTTGGTGCTGAAAATAGGTCTGACTGTCAACAGTAGCTTTCTTCTAGGGGAGAGCTCAGAAAAGGGGGCCTGAGACCTTAGGGAGTGGCTGGAAACACAGAGGTATGTCCTGAAACCCCAGCCCAGGGAAATTGAGCATCCCCCGCATCAGAATCACAGGCCACAAGAATGGGGTACAGACAGTGGGAAGACAAAGAGTCAGAGGCAACTGTCAAGGTTCTGTCCTGGCAGAGCTGCCAGCCTGGCTGCAGTGAGGCGAAGTGGTGTGCCCACAGATGCGCCAAAATGGAACAGGGCAAAGGCTAAATAAGGACTTGAGTGTGAAGAAAAAGTGTCTCAGAGGCTCTGACGAGGGGACTGGCAGAGCTGGGGAAGCAGAGGAGGCCCTGCTTTGTGTTTGCTGGCAGCAGGTGCAAGGACTCAAACTGAACCCTGCAGCCACTGTGTCCGGGTGGGACACTAGGCCTCGTCCCGTGTGTTTGCTCCTCACAGCAACATCAGGGGCACTATCGTCTCCAGGCTCAGATCATTTAAATGGCTTTTATGGGTCCCCAATGGTGAACCTGGTATTAAATCTGGTTCCCTCTGGTGGCAGGTCTCCTGGTCTCTCCCCTGCACAGCAGTGGTTTCCCTCAATGAGCAGCCGGGCCTGGCCCCTCTGGGAGGCACCGAGGGCTCCAGCTTTGTTTTGTTCAGAAGTTGAAAAGGAGGCAATGTGTTTTAGAAAGAAATGACAACTAGTTGGCATTATTAACCACAGCCTGAAAATGACAGTGACATGATAAAAATACTGCAAGTGTCCAAAATCAGTGAGGGCAGCTGATGGAGGGGCAGGGGCCTTGATGTATAGGGATGGGAACCATCTCCACTAAGGATGGTCTGTAGTGTTTGGTGCGGGAGTAGAGAAAGGGCCACCCCAGTTCCATGTCCACGTGACCCTTGGTGACTGTACCTCTTGTTCTGGGTCCTGTTCCTCTTCTGGAGAGTAATGATAAAGTGGTTATGAAACCAATGAATAGGGACACACAGAACAGAAAATGGAATGTATTTCATATTTTTAACATTTGTGGAAAAGGAACAGGCTGGGATAAGATGAGATAAAAAGTTGACAATTACAATGCCATTATTTCTCATGATTCTGTGGGTCAGGAATTTATTTTATTTTATTTTTTAAATTTTATTATTATTATTTTTTACATTCTACAATGTTGTAGAGCAGTTGGGAGGGCGAGGGAGAGGGGAAAGGGGAAGGAAATGGGATGGAAGAGAGTGGAAGGAGGAGAGGTGGGATTGAGGCCTGTGGCACCCACCACATTCCCACAGGGGAGACCGGTGGGCTTCCAGCGGTGGCCTGGTTATTGCTGGGCTGGGGGCAGATGTCAAGGGGGTGTGGCAATAGCCCTCGCCCCCCACCACCCTAGGTCAGGAACCTGGGGCCCTTCTTGCTGAAGCTCACTGGTCGTCACTGGGCTGGTTGAGCATGTGGAGGGGCATGTTGAGACCCTTGGCACCCCACCGCCCAGGGTCAGGAGAGCCCAGGGTGCCTCCTGCAGCAGCTCGGTGGTCATCGCTGAGCTGGTTGCTTGGGTGGGGTGGGGCATGGACGAGGCCCTCAGCCCCCGACCTCCCCAGCTCACGAGAGCCCGGGGCTTTTCCTGCAGTGGCTCGGTGGTCATCGCTGGGGTGATTGCACTTGTCAGGGGGGTGTGGCCGAGGCCCGAGGCCCCCATCCTTGGGACTGGTTGAGGGTATTGGGGGCCATGGCTGAGGCCTCCAACCCTCCCCCTTTCCTGGCTTGGTAGCCCAGGGAATTTCTGTTCCTTCTAGGTATTATAGGTGTTCTTTGGTGAAATGAGACGTTTACTAGTTATCAAACTTTGTCTCTGGTTGTAGGTATTGTGTTTTATCTTTCAGTTCTGTGTTGGGTTATTTGCTGTTCCCACCACTTAAACTCTGCACTGGAACTAATTTGTTGTCCTTTTCTTACTTCTAAAATGGTGGGACTTCCTGTGGGGACCAGCACTTGAGCCCTGTGGTTGAGTTAAATTGCTGCTTTGCTGCTGGTTCCCTAGGGAAGGCTTTTCATGCAGCTCAGGTTTTAATGGTTGACTTTACAGGTACTTCTGGACCTGGTTAAATCTAGTGCACCTGGGTTGTATAGAAACACTGCTCTGGGCCTGAGTCTTTTCATCAAACTGCACCCCCTGCAATTCTATATTCCTGACCAGTCTCCTCTGAGTGGTCCTGCACTGATTAGGGGGCAGATCAGCTGTCCTTGCTGTGCCTCAGTGTTCCCCTGGGTGGGCCTGTCTCCCCAACTGCCAATGCTGCAAACATTTCCCATGGGACAGGCTGTGCTCCAGTCCCTTGCGATGACTCACTGGTCTCTGAGTGGCTCCTTTTTTTCAGTTGTTGTGGCTCCTCGGTCCTTTGTGGGTCCACAGAAACCTTGTTGGTGGGACTGCTGGTCTGGGGGCCACCAAGGCCCTCTTCTCCCCTGCTGCCTCCAAGCACCTCCATTGGAAGGGCACAGCTGTGGCTTTTGCT